CTCTCTCTCTCTCTCTCTCTCTCTCTCTGTGTGTGTGTGTGTGTGTGTGTGTGTGTGTGTGTGTGTGTGTGTGCATCTGATTGCTGTGTGGCTTCCCAGGAAAGCATATGACATCAGTGCTTCCCGCTTTCGGCACAGTTCCTCAGTTCCACAGATCTGAGGGCCTGCTGTTCATGAAAATGACCACCATCGAAAACTGCGGGTTCGAGAGTTAGGCGATTAGGTGCTGAGGCTAACGACCTCTCTCTCTCTCTCTCTCTCTCTCTCTCTCTCTCTCTCTCTCTCTCACACACACACACACACAGACACACACACACACAAAAAAAAAAAAAAAAAAAAAAAAAAAAAAAAAAAAAAAAAAAAAAAAAAAAAAAATTTTTTTTTTTTTTTTTTTTTTTAACAGGCCCTTGTACAAGGCCTCTATCCTGGTGGTGGGGTGGTAAGAGAACCACCGGGATTGAGGCTTTGCCTGGCGGGCCGCTCCGTCTATTGGTGGGGAGCATCACCTGCTGGGAACCGGGCCCAGCGTCCCATGAATACATCTGTTCAGTACATCATTGAGGGTGACGCCATTGGGCTGGAAACCGGGTCGAGCGTCCCATATCTAACCTTTTCCTTCATACCTAGCCTGCAGCACCGTCGGGTACTGGGGGGAGACCCACCAGGGGGCACCAGTGGAATCTCCCTCCCTCCCCTAGCTCCTGCCCTCCTCCTACTATCCTTATGGCGTCCAGCATCCCATATACAGAAATTTTACAAAAAGTAGAATGTCCACACTAGAATGTCTGAGGAACAATGGGAATTGTGGGGCCTGCCAGCATTGATTACCTAGCAACCCAGGGGATGGACTGAGCATGCCCAAAAGAGCTTAAGAAAGGAGCCAAGAAGATCAAGGAAAAACAGTCTGACACCACAGTGCTGGAAACTGGGTCCAGCGTCTCCCTGCCTACCCTGGGGTGCATGGCTGAGAAAGGCTGAGAAAGGCTGAGAAAGGCTGAGAATCTTTGTTTGAAACATGATGGAAGAACATCTTGAGAGTGGCGCTCTGAAACAGACTAGCTTGCACTGCAGCTTGCTATGCCATGTATTTGAGTGAATTGGGTGACTCTAAGCCCCCAGGTATTCCTCCAGGGCCAACAGGTGGGGCGGAAAGGGATCACACACGCACACACTCACATCTTTTTATTTATTTTTGCATAATCTCGTTAATATAGTATCTCTTTATAACACTAGGCACCCTGTGACGTACATCCCATTAGCTCAGTGGGTAGAGGATCCGTTGGTTATGACTTAAGTTTCAACAAAACATTAATGACCTTGTACGGCGTACCTTCGGGGTCGCGGTGGACTTATACACACAAACTAGTTTCAAGTGCTCTTGTGGAGATAACTTAACGTCAAGTGTATGTAGAGCATAACCATAGAGAACATCCACTTGTTTCTAAACAACCCAAACAAACTTAAAAATTATGAGTATCAGGTCCAGAATATGTACAATCTAATTATGAAGAGGTAATGACCTTCACTTCAAATCAGAACTATATATATATACCGGCCAGATCCTATACATCGAAACGATCTCATGGGTTCTACAGCGAACAAGCAATGTTATCCAACTTAATGACTAAGGGCCAGATCCCACTGGCAAAGAGGATTGGAAGAAGTGGCCGAATCTGGACGTGTTCCACACACACATGCAGAAAAGCAGATCAATCACAATGTTTTGCACCTCTCCACAAACACGTCCAGATTCAGAGGCTTATTCCAATCCTCTTTGGCAGTGGGATCTGGCCCTAAGTCTTATGCCCTGTCCTAGTATCTTAACCACCAATTCATAAGCTGCTCAAAACCGATCGGTATAATTCCATCCGGTCCTGCCCATCCAGTCCCACTATAGACGAACTAAAATGAGATGGTCAAAATTCTAGTGAGCACTTCCTCTCTACCTAGAGCCAATGGTTTCACCCTTCAACTCATTTGTTCATCACCTTGCACTTGTGAGGTGTTATCAGCATTCCCACAACAATCACACACTATATCGCCCATCGTTCTCGCCATCTTTGTACCTTACACCCCTTCCGACTTCCAGACGGCGATGCATCTTTATCGCCACAGCCCGTCTGGGGATTGGACGCAATGAGAGTTAGGGCTATTCTACCTTCTTTCTGACCCCCTTGCTTCTCTTTTCCCTTCCTATTTGGAAGCACAATTGTCCTCGCACAAGTTTTCTCTTCTTTCCCTTCAATACAGAACTCACCCTTTTTCTTTTTACCCATCTTGTGATTTTTCTCCATCTCTTTACAACCCTACTTGGTCGCGCTTTTGCCCTTTGTACCCTCAAAAGCGCCTGTTACGACTCCTTTCATCCTGTGGTCAAACTTGCTCTTGCCATGATTTTGCATCTCCTTTCTTCTCCTTGCTTCCCGTAGGATATGACAAAGGTATTTATCGAAGTCCCCTTCTATATAATTCTCTTTAATCTCGCCCCATATACCTCCCTTCTATTCCACGGATTAGTCTCGCTGCTCCGCATCAGAAAAGTTCATAAGGAAGTTGAGACACTTGTCATATTCTGACAACGTCCAGACTTTGCGGGAAGCCCGTTCGAACTCTGTCTGAAACTGCCCTACTGGGCACAAATGGTATCGATCTACCTTCTCAAGATACTCTTTAATCAGTTTCTCCTCACCTCGTTGGTACATCTCCAACATGCCATCATGATACTTACTCCATAATGACCCCGCTCTTTAATCCGCCACTCCCCCCGACAGTCGAAAACCCTCAGTGCTGTGAGTTAGGGCCGGTTTTTCCGGCAGGTCGTCGACCTTTCCAGCCCCAAGTTCCAAGGTGAGGGACGTCGGGCCCAGGCCGGAGAGGCAGTCGGGCGGTGGATTGCGGCCAGGGCCTTTGAAATGGTCGGGCTGGTCTAGTGCGTGGCTGGCCGCCAACTTTTCATTGTTTTCCACGGTGGTGGGAACGGAATACCTTTACCGAAAATTAAATGAAGATTTTTGCATGTTTTTTTTTCCTTTTCGTTTTTGGCATTTAGTTTGTAATGTGTTTTTATTTTGTTATCCTTTTACGTCATTACATACGATTGTGGAAACACCCTCTCGCGTCGA